GTGGGGTCAGAGGCTTGAAATAGTTGGCCTCTAAATGGGGGAAGTAACTTTCCTAAGACATTACTACAAGGGTTAGTGCCATTATGTGCAGGAGGAATTCAAAAGAAAAGTGCAACTTTAGTTGAAGTGATCAAAACAGTTTTGCAGAAGATTTTATGAAAGGATCTTGATAGATGGAGATGGAAACAGGGCATTAGAGGAGGGTACACAGCGTGAACAAAGCCGTGAAGGAACACAGTCCCTAGGGCAGTAAACAATTCATCTTTCCATGGAGTCCTGGAAAGGTAAAATGAGGCCAGACTGAGGAAACTGAAAATAGCCTAAAAGCCTACTTAAGGTGGTGTACTTTTTCTATCAGCAATGGAGATCAGTGGATTAATGTTGCTTCCTGTTACTTTTCTGAGATTCTCTCCCACCTGCTAGCAAAATCTTGACCACGGAGAATAGAAGGCTTTCAGATTCTACTCTGCAATTCGGTATAGTTTTGCGGAGGTCTACCCTAAGATGGGCCGTCACAGGTAACATCAGTTTTTATGACTGACTTCCCAAGTGTAAATCACAATATGGGTACATAAAAGTTACTTCTGGAATAAATAAATGTAGTGGCTGCAAACTGGGAACACTGACGTTGAAGTCTGTTTAGCACCACTCTAAATTCCTGGCAGGATAAAGATAATATACAACCTCAGGAACCGAAGTTGCACCATTGCAGCCTACCCAACTACTAGCAAAAGAGAAAAGCAGTGAACAGACCCCACTATTACTTCATTTCAGAAAACAACCAGCCATTATAATCTTCATTTGTTTTGAAGACGGCAGCCTATGTATTCTCTGCTGTATTTTCTAGCCCCTCTTCTAAATTACTTGAGGGAAATCTAGCAAAGTACCATGGCCTCCTAGTGCTCCTCTGACACCTGAAACGGTGTAAACTGAAATTGGCCTTGTCAGTTTCCCATTCTCCCACGAAGCACCAGAAACTGAGGGAAAGCACTTATCTATTTTCTTAAAATCGAAGGTTTGAAGGCCGAAATTCTTAAACAGAAGAAAGCATACATCAATTCTAGATTTCCAAGGTAATGAAATTTCATTTTTCTCCAAACTAGCTTAGATTCTGCCCCGCATTTCAGTCTTCAGGATTACCTTAATCCTGCAGAGCGATCACCAACCTCCCTTCCCACCTCTTCAAGGTGGGGGCACTGTCATGGCCTGACCTGCCAAAGATGGTTGGTCGAGGAACCTCAGGGCTTCCCAGCCATCCTGGACGGGTGTTCCCCGCTGAGAGGCGGTTCGCGACCTAGGCCCGCAGCCCTCCCTCCCCAAGCGCGGGCCTCGGGGCCAGGCTTATCTCTGGCTGACTGGTCCCGACCCGGGGAACCCAGGCATCTCCACCCCGCGGGGCTAAGGGCGCAGCACTCACAGAACTGCCGGGAGTCGGGGAACAGCCAGGGACAGCAGGGGACTTGCGCCCACCGCACCTAGGACGCCTCGGAGGCGGCGCGCAGTGGGAGGGGCCGGAAATGTTTACAACCTCCACCGCCTGGACGCCCGGAGGCCGGGCGGCTCCGGGTCGGAGGCCCGGGACCCTCGGCACGTCGGAGCGGGTTCCCCCAACGGCTGTCCCCTCCGCAGGCCTGGGCCGGTTCCCCGGCGTCCCGCGCTCCCGCCGAGTCCCCGCCCACAGCGCAGCCCCGGGGAGACTTACGGCCGGGCGGGCGGGCGGGCTCTGCTGGGGGCCGCGGTCCCCCGCGCTACATCCCGCGGCGCTGGAGGCGGCCTGCGGCCGAGCGGCCCCTATCTTCAGCGCCCTCCCCGCGCCGGAAGGGGCGCGCGACCGCACGCGTCACCTCCGCAGCCGCGTCACCTCCTCGCGGGCTCTGCCGGGCCCCTCCAATCCCAGGCCTTCTCACAGAGTCCCAATCACAGGCCCGCGCCCGCCGGCCACACCTCCCGCCCCGCTGCCCCGCCTTTCCTGCCGCCCCGCGCCTCCCCACCGCGGCCAGGTAACCTCCACCAGCCCCGGGCTTGCCCTCGCCGGTCGCGTTCCACACTCCGCCTCGTCTTCGCAGCCTGCAGTGCGTGATGGAGAAGGAATTTCAGAGAATGAGACGGAACTCCGGGAGGGAATGCTGAAGCTTCTACCATACACCTCGTCTCATCTCCTCTGTCCCCAAGGCCAGTCGTTTCATCTCTAAACACGTCTTAATCCCTTCTTCAACCGCATGGTCCCTCCCTGCCTTCCACAAACTATTGAGCGCCTACCGTGTGCCAGGCCCTGGGCTAGACCTTAGTTCTGGCTCCTGTTATTTTCTTGTCAGGGAGCAGAATTGTTTCTAACTACTCTTGCTGGCGAACCCGCGCCCCAGCTCCTGCTCCCACACGCACCGAGTGCAGATTGGGGAGACGACCTAAGGCAATGCAGCCCTTGTTTGAACCACACAACACAGAAGGGGATTTCAGGGTCTGGCCATTTTCGCATTTCTCCCAAGAATGAAATAGTATTTATTTTATTCCCATTTTTCAGATGAGGTAACTGTCATTTGGAGGGGTTCCATAATGTGCTCAAGGGGACAGACTGGCCAGCGACAGAAGCTTGGCTCTGTGTGACTTTACAGCCCATGCTCTGGAGCCCCTGATACAGCGATCCACAGTTGCTGAACAGCAATGTCGATCTACCTCCTGTGACCAAACCTTCAACTCACAGGATTATCATGGGGATTAAATTATGTGATGTAGATAGAGTACTTGGCACAGTACCTGGTATGTGGCTGTTAACTCAAAAAAATTTTTTTTTTTTTAGGCACAGGTTCTCACTGTCACCTAGGCTGGAGTGCAGTGGTGGAATCATGAGATCATAGTTCACTGTGTAACTAGTGCCATTCTAGTGGCAGAGAAAGTGACTCGTAATCTGACATAGGTGCCTCAGGGACATGGGGTTAGTTCTCTTGGTCTTGGTTAAAAGCATGGGCTCTGGAGTCATATAGAGCCAAGCTTCTGTCCCAGACCAGCCTGTGATCTTGACACATAACTGAACCCCTCCAAATGATAATTACCTCATCTGAAAAATGGGAATAAAATAATAGCATTTCACTGGGTCTTTGTTAGGACTGAGTGAGATAATTCATGCAGGCTCTTATTATGAGACCCAGCCAATGGTAAATGCTTTGTAAAAATGTTAGCCATTACCATGTTGCCCACTGTATACAATCCTCAGAAACTTCCCACTGTCCACAGGACTGGGTCCAGGTTTCTTCAACAGCGTTTCAAGGCCCTTTATGAGCTGGTTCTAACCTCTCAGGCCTCATTGTTCTCCATTTTCCCTCTGGCATGTTGGGTCTTGGTGAACTAGTTCTCTAAAGTGAACTTCTCTTTCATTCATTCAGGCTGATCCTTCTGTTGGACTGCCCTTCTCATTGTCTGCTGCAAGATGCCAGCAGTTTACAATGCCCACTTCTAGGTTTGGCTTTAGGCTCTGCCAGCCCCTGACCAGCTGTACGACCTTTGGCCAATTATTAATCTTCAACTCATATGAGTATCATGAGGATTAAATTATGTGATATAGGTTGAATACTTAGCACGGTACCTGATATACAGCTATTAACTCAAAAATACTTTTGTTTGTATTTTTAGGGACAGGCTCTCACTCTGTCATCTAGGCTGGAGTGCAGTACTATGATAAGATCATAGCTCACTGCAGCCTCGAACTCCTGGGCTTTGAGGGATTCTCCCACCTCAGCCTCCCAAGTAGCTGGGCTATAGATTCGTGTCACCAAGCCCAGTTAATTTTTTAATTTTTATTTTGTTTTTGTAGAGATAGGGTCTATGTTGCCCAGATGTTAGCTCTTTCTCCCCTTCCTTCTTTTCTGAATCTTTCTCAACCTCTTCCCAGCTGTGCTTTGTATGTACCTCTGCTTGGTATTAGTCACACTGTGTTATAATTATTTGTCACTTGTCTATCTTAGACTGTGAGTTCTTTGGAGGTCTCAGACCAGTCTTGGTCACACTTGTATCCTCAGGGCCTAGCACAGTGCTTGGCACATGACAAGTCCTTAATAAACGTTCGTATGTTGAGCACATGAGGCAAAAACCCATGCCAGATGAGGAATGGTGATCTTCCATGAGGGAAATTCTCTTTACAAACCTGCTTCACTGTCTGAGCCCAACATTCCTAGGCAAGATTTTCCTTGCTGGAGGTGAGGTGGCTGAGACTATGTAACAGAGCACAGTGCCATACACGTTAGCTGATCAAGAAATGTTGGGTGGAAAAACATCAACAGAATTTACTGATGCCTCTGCTCTAGGGAGGAGTGAATCCTGAGGGTCCCATAAACCTTTCTCTCAGGAGCCTCAGAAACAGCTATATACAGTTGCTGAGAAGCAGAAAAGCAATGCTGACCGACCTTCTGAGCCCACCACATTGTTTTGTTCCAGTGAGACTAACAAAGAAGAATCTGGAGAGGCTGCCCTAGTCCTACCCTAGGAAAGGGTTGGACTCCCATAGCAGAGTAGATTGGCGCTCAGGACAGATGGGCCTCGGGGAGGCCAACTCTGTCCAGGCATCAAGGCATCAACAAGTCTGGCCGGGGCTGGTGATGTCAGGTTACTTTTTAAAGGAGATGGCTTCTCTTCCAAACAGAAAGGCAACACTTTGATTTGTGTGCCAGGTTCCCTGAAGGATAAATATGGTGAAGGATGGGCGGGAAGGAAGAAGGGGAAGAGTGGCATATTAAGGGAACACTGTGAGGGGCAGCTGGGCTCAGAAAAGTCCCCTCTAATGTGTGTTCATCTTCCCCCACCTCGAGGGCCTCCAGGGAGAAGAGGAGCTCTGGCTCTGCTGAGACAGCTGCTGAGATGATCACCGAGTCTACTGGCAGCTCACATTTCAGCACATGGTACAACTTCTCAAAGGTTCTTTGGAACACCTGGGAGAGTTCCCTGCTGGCAAACCCTTCCTCCCTAGGTCTTTGGGCATTTGGAAACAAGGACCCCAGACATGACAACCATTTCAATATCACACAAGGGCCTTAGCCCCATTTATTTGCACAGCCAGGGGTTCCTGCCACAAACAGCAGTTTTCGATTATCAGTAGCTGTTTCCCTCTAGCCTGGGCAGGGGCCAAGAGAGACACACACAGAAATATGTATTTCAGACTCCATGGAGTCTGAGAAACCATTTCCTCCTTTCCTGCCATCTCCATAAGGCCACCTCTGGAAGTATGCTCCACTTACACTCACATGTATGGATTTGGGCATAGGTAAAACAGTGAATATTAAGTAAAACTCATTGCAGAGACTGTTCTTTTCATCACAGACATAAAGAAGGTGAGATGCTATCAAGGAACTAGCCAATCTTGGACGAAGGGTACATGCTCCCTTTTTTCCTACTCGATGGAAGAAACTGTTCCATGGACGTCTCCTGGACCTGTTGCCACGGGGAGATTTAGGGGCCTTCCAAGGAGTGATTCAGCCTTGGCCCTCTTCATGGCTACAGGAATGTTGTTCCTGCAGGTACTATCCAGATTTCAGCTCTAGATGGAGCTCAAAAAGGCTAAAACTCTCAGCAAAGGAATCTAGGGCTTATGGTGCTTGAGTATGAATGGGAGACAACTGCAGAGAACAGGACCAGGGAAGCTGGAGGATGCTCAGTAGGTGAATCGCATCTTTTGCGAGTAGCCCAGTTTGTCCAAGTTGGGATGGCAGGCCAGCTGCACCATTGGGGGTGGCCCACAAAGCAGCACCAGCACGTCATCCCCTGGAGCAGGCAGGTGTTCCCGGATCATGTCGGCAGTCACAAAGCCCTTGCTGTACGCCCAGTCTGAAGTATGGGGAGAAGAAAGTACTTACACTCTAGATACAAGCGGCAAAGGGTGTGGTGCCATGAGAATGGACCACTGGGAAGGGACCTGAAAGGCTCCTGGAAAGTGTCAAGTTGTAGCAGCAGCTGGGAATGGGTACACTCAGCCTGCCTTAGGCTGAGCCATAGCAGCATAGCCATCCCTGTCACCCACCTGGCAAACAGGAACCCAAAGGAAAGGGACCAGGAGATCACTGTGGCTGTGCACTCAGACTTCCGAGTTGGCAGTGTGAGACAAGCCACTGAAGCCAGAACTCACAGAAGGGCAAGCCCTTGGTGTCGATGATGAAGGGATAGTGGGATGTCCAGAAATGGGAAGGATACCTTTTGGGGGATGATCCAGAGTGAACCAGAGCTTAAAGCGATTGGGATAGCGGGCCTGCAGTTCCTCCAAGTCCTCCCGCAAGATGATATCCTTTTCCGTCTGAAAGGCAAAGGGGAAGGAAAGTCTTTAGGAGCCTTCTCAGGCCTACATAAAAAATATTTTGCTGTTGTTTTAATGTTAAAAAAAAAAAAAAAGATAACCAAAAAAAAGTATTTTGCTGTTACAACTTTCCAACTAAGAAAAAGAAGGTTAAGGGAATATAAAAATTCTAGGAAATAAGCAAGACTTGCAGTGCTTTTAGGGAGTTAGGATGAGGAGAAGAGGGGAACAGCCTTTATCTACACATCATGAAGGAATAGAGATGAATATTTAACCAAGAAGATACAAGTTTCTCTGCTCCAGAGTAGATACTTTAAAAGTTTTCTTTCCTTGCTTGCCAGGAAAGGAATTGGATTCAGTGCTCTGTCCTTTCTCCTCTTTATTGAAAGAGGGCCCTGTACCTTGGAGACAGGACCTTGGGCAGAGACTAAAACAGGGCACTGGGCCAGTTCTGCCCATTCTTACCATGTCTCTCAGCCCTATCCACACAGCAACTTTGAAGTCATAGGGTGGAAGAAAGCAAACCAACCTGGTTGGCAAAAAGCAGAAAGCACTGAGTTGGATCTTCGGGGACTTTCAGGATGGCCCGGATCAGCTGTAGCATTGGGGTGATTCCTGCATGAAGATACCCACAGTGAAATGTACTGGCTACACTCTCTGCCCTGTTCTGGCTTCTTGGCTGACTAGGCTTTTCATCTTAATTCTGCTCATTCATCACTCTACTCCATTTTCCTTTAGCATTCCTGTCCTCTAAACTCCTGCATATTCTCCAATATCTACATTTCCAGACACCCTCCAAATTCATGTAAGTTCATATTGTAGAAATATTTCTTAGGAACCAATCTAAGTCTCTTCTGAAGGTCCCTTGAAAGCTAGGATTCCCATGTCATAGATAACTCCAAGTACTTCTGGATTCAGTGATGAGGGTTGTAGAACATTGTACTGGGAGAGGTTAAGTGCATGTACTTAGGAATCAGGCAGAGCCAGATACTAATCTTGCTCCAGGCCATTACCAGTTAAATAACCCTGTGGAAATCATTTAGCCTCTCTGGACCTCCATTGTCTCTCTGTAAAAGGAAAAGGGTAATTCCTACTTCGTAGATATATACACATGTCTAATTTTTTTTTTTTTTTTTTTTGGAGACGGAGTTTCACTCTTGTTACCCAGGCTGGAGTGCAATGGCATGATCTCGGCTCACCGCAACCTCCGACTCCTGGGTTCAGGCAATTCTCCTGCCTCAGCCTCCTGAGTAGCCGGGATTACAGGCACGTGCCACCATGCCCAGCTAATTTGTTGTATTTTTAGTAGAGACAGGGTTTCACCATGTTGACCGGGATGGTCTCGATCTCTTGACCTCGTGATCCACCCGCCTCAGCCTCCCAAAGTGCTCGGATTACAGGCTTGAGCCACCGTGCCCGGCCCCACATGTGTCTAATATAGAGCAGTGTATAAGACTATACACAGTGTCTACTATTAGACTACATAGTATCTAATACATTGTAGTGTGCAATGTTTCTTTCTTCCTAGCTAGTCATTCCTAGCTGCTTCCCTCTTCTGTCACCTAAAATGTATTAGATCCTTTCAATATGAGGAAACCTCACTTGATTTATTTCTCTAATTCCATCAGTTAAAATTTTTTTGGTTTCTACCTGCTTATGAGTTTGTTTTTCAGATACTAGGGAGCTCTAAGCATTGCCGGAAATCCCTGATGAAAAACTTGGCTATGATTACCAGTCTCCAGAGGGTCACTTAGGAAAACAATCAACAATGGTGGGAGAGAAAGACCCTCCATGTAATGTACCTGTCCCGCCAGCAATCATTCCCAGTTTCTTCGCCACTCGGGGTTCTGGTGGAGATTTCTTGTTGGGCTGAATGTTAAAATGCCCTGAGAAATCAGGTGAAGAGAGCAATGGAAGAATAAAGTCAATACAGCAAATTTAGAAAACAAATGCAGAATTGAAAATCTGCCCGAGTCCAGTTGAGCAGCTGCTATGAAATCTGATCCTGGAACTTGGGTGGAAGTTTGAGTTGAGCCAGCCCTGACAATAATACACTTGAGGGACAATGGAGCCAGGGCTATCTGTGAGTCAGTTCAGAGCCTCAAGGCATATCAGCTGCCTCTGGCAAAGTGTCACTCCCTGGTGAAGGAGACAGGCATGGAGCCAGATGTGAATCTATTTTCCCAAGTGGTACACAGCAGCTCCAGGGACTTGCTAATGCACCCAGTTGTTCCCATGGGAAGGGCCAAAAGCTATCTCTGGCTCTCTCCACAGCTCACCCTGGTGGGGGTGGGCTGGGGCTCAAATTTTTGAAGGAGGGAAGAGGGACACATGTTTGCTTTAGTAATCTCCACAGCTACCATGGCTAGGGAATTCAAGTGGGTGAGGAACTGCTCCCTGTGGCAAATGAGGGTGAGAATCATGCCTTTCTATTATATCAGTGGTATGTTTAGAAGGAAGGGCGGCCCTGGCCCTTACACATGTGCACACTCATGTGTACACACAGCCATACTGTGCCATTAGGACTGTGGGAACTGATAAAGTGGGAGACAGGCTCAAGGAGAAGACAGGTCACTACCTTTTCCAGTGTAAGTGAGCAATCCGCTTGGCCCCCGAAACTCCACTACATCCCCAATCTTCAGGCTGTCCACGTACTGAGACATCTTCCCTCCCTCAGGAAATTTGGGGTGCACACCCTTCAGGTAGACCTTATAAGACAGAGAGAAAAATACCTTATTTGGAATGTCACTTTGAAGTTTTAAGGTGGAGGAAAGCAAACCAACCTGGCTGGCAAAAAGCAGAAAGCATAGGGTTGGATCTGCAGGGACTTTCAGGATGACTAAATGCATATTGACTAAACCTCCCTGAGGCTGGGGCAGGGATCAGCTATGTGCTATTTTTTCCATGTAGAAAGAAAATCTACATACTTTCTTCATATCCACAAAGTACATGCCATTTCCTGCTGTTAGGCAAATCTTAGACATTTCTACAAATCCCAGAACGAATGGGTAAGCAGCCCTGGTGTCCCTTCCTAGTCCCTTACCTTGATGACAAGATCCACGTAGCCTTGATCCTCATCACTGGTGACAGGAGTGTATGGCCTGATGACCAGGCTGCCATCAATTCGGGCGGAGAGGTAGATATGTTTGCCTGGGGATGTGCAGAGAGCTACATAAGGGCTGCCTGTGATGTGCTGCATCCCTCAAAATACTCGAGAGATTTGAGAGAACAAGATGTCTTGCTTCCTGCTGTGGTGCCAAGGAGCTACCAGGCAGGGAAGATTCACCCCGTTGAGCCCTCAGTTGGATTCCTCATAAACCCCCAGTTGAGGAAAACACTTAACAGTTACTGCCAGGACCTTGACAGTTGAGTCAGAGGGTCTGGGCAATGGGAAGAAGTTAGTAGTGCTTGCTCAGAGGGAGTAATAAGCAAATCTTGCAGGGAAGAGGCAAGAATGTTGAGTGTTAAAGCTGGTTGGACGTCACAGAAGCCACACCCTAGAGGGGTCCAGTGGCACCTCACAGCTTGGAGGATGCAGAACCAAGTGGGGGAAGGGGAGTGGTGTGGGGAGCAAACAGGTTGAAGCAGCTTGTTTCATGAGACCCCAGGAGGGGAGTCACCTTCTGAGGATACCAGGGAAAGGAGTCCATTCCACACTTTCCTTACCCACAGGCAGCCCCAGAGTGTGGTGGGCGGTGGGCAGGGCAAAGCGGAACCTCTTGGTGTTGTGGCTCACAGTCTGGAGGGTGGAGGACACAAGTGTTTCACCAAGCACGCCTGGCACTGCCACATCCCTTGGGTATCCCAACCACGGTGGGTACTGTCCCCTCCATGCCAGGAGCACTGTGGTCCCTTCCTCTACCCTGCCCCTTTCTTCCACAACTTACTGTCTTGTCCAGCAGTCGCAGCAGGTACTTTTCATTGGGGTCCAGGAGAGTGACCTGAGGCCGGCGGGACCTCCGAACCAAGTAGGAGCCCACAGCCAGGCCGAGCAGAGTGACCAGCCCCACCCCCAGGGAGGCCAGCAGGACGGGGCTCTGTGGGTAGAGAAGGCAGCGTGACCGCCAGGCTGGGGAAGAGCCCCGGGCGCAGGTGGTGACCGTCCCAGGGGTGGCGATCCCGAGCTCCAGCGTGGAGGCATGCCAAGGGCAGAGGGGTAACTTGGCAGGGTCCTGAGCCCGGGTGTAAGGGACCGGCACCCCAGCATCCAGGGTGGGCCCAGAGCCCTATAGGGCGGGGTCGGCAGCGACAGCCCCTGGTCTGGAGCTGAGTGGTCAGAACCAGATGGGGAGGGGTCTCCCAGTGGAGGATACGGAACGAGGGTCTTACCCACTGGATCCCCATGACGGAGCGCCTTGTCCTCCACCACTCGGCCAGCCGACCGATCCCACAATGCGCCGCGGGGTGGGTCGGAGGGCGGGGCAGGCTAGAGGCGGAGCATAACAGGAGGCGGGACTTTGCGGCGGAGTCGGGGGGGGAAGGAGGCGGGGCCTGGCAGTGAGGGTCTGTCGGGGGAGGGGCCTAGCAGTAGCTGTCAGGGGCGGGGCCTGTTGGGGGCGGGGCCCGCAGAGGTGGGCCTGGCCCTCTCTGCTGCGCCCGACCTTCACCTTCCGCTACTGGTGGCTCTCGGGCGCAGTAACTCCGGTGCTTATCCGATTTTATTTATTTATTTATTTAAAATTTTATTTATTTTATTTTTTGAGACAGAGCCTCACTCTGTCACCCAGGCTGAAGTGCAGTGGTGCAATCTCGGCTCATTGCAACCTCCTCCTCCCGGGTTCAAGTGGTTCTCTTGCCTCAGCCTCTCGAGTATGTGGGACTACAGGCGTGCACCACTTCGCCCGGCTATTATTTATTTATTTATTTTTGTATTTTTAGTAGAGACCTTGTTGGTCAGGCTGGTCTCGAACTCCAGACCTCAAATGATCCTCCCGTTTCAGCCTCCCAAAGTGCTGGGATTACATGCGTGAGCCATTGCGCTCGGCCCCAAGATATTTTAAGACCGCGGCTCCAGCTCCTCCTCCCAGTGAAGTGGTCCTGGCCACTTTGACCCGCTTATATTCGAACAGGATGGGAGTTCTGCCTATGGTAGAACCACGCTAAATTGGGGGATTGGAAATTTCTTGAGTCTGCCAATGCTGAGCGGAGAGTGTAAGGATGAACCATAGTCAGGCTTAAAGTAGAGCAGAAGGGCCTGAAGTTAATAATTGTGTAGTCGTCTTAGTTTTTCAATTGGCTGAATTGCAGCTAAACAATGGAACAGCCTGGAGGAGTCTCTTACAGGAGTGAACAGTGGCATGGCAAGTTCATTTCCTGACACCTTTTGACAAAAGACTGATTTTGTTTACAGCGCCAAGCGGTCAGGCTATCCGGATCATCCAGGAACTTCCTTTGGCTTTAGAGTCCAAGCTACACATCCTGATTTAGGTTCTTGTGCCCTTAGGATAAAAAAAAAAAAGGGCTTTGGAGGCCGGGCACAGGTGCACACGCCTGTAATCCCAGCACTTTGGGAGCCGAGGTGGGCAGATCACCTGAGGTCAGGAGTTCAAGACCAGCCTGACCAATATGGTGAAACACTGTCTCTACTAAAATTACAAAAAATTAGCCGGGCTGGTGGCCTGCTCCTGTAGTCCCAGATACTACGGAGGCTCAGGCAGGAGACTCGCTTGAACCCAGGAGGCAGAGGTTGCAGTGAGCCGAGATCGCACAACTGCAATCCAACCTGCCTGGGAGACACAGCAAGACTCCATCTCAAAAAAAAAAAAAAAAAAAAAGGGTGGGGGGCTTTGGAGGAAGAGTCTACAGATTAAGAACTTTGCTCTATCACTTATTGGCTCTGTGACTTTAGATAACTTACTCAACCTGACTTTCTTATCTCCAGATGGATATATATTATTATCTATAGATGGATAGCATCTAGTTCATAGCCTTGGTATGAGGCTTCAATGAGCTATGTTAATGTGCTTAGGGTAGTGCCTGTCATAAAGCAAGATATTCAACAATGGCAGCTACTATTATAGCTCAAAAGACAGCAGGGAGGATCAGCTAGGGTTTTAGGAATGAGCTCTGTGCGGGGCACAAGCATGGGACAGGAGGAGGCAGGAAAAGACATCCATCAGGAGCCGCTGGAGCTACGGATCTCCCAAGATGACGGTTCTTTCTCATACAAGAGTTTCTCAACTAGAATGACATTTGCTCTTTTATGTACAGTGATGGATGAGATCTCTGCAGATGTCATTGTCAACATCTTAAGCTAATGCCATCAGGGCAGCAGGGACATTGGAGCTCATTTTCAGTTGTATTTGGTGAACTCTGTGAATGATAAAAAAGATACTTAGTTTTCCTTTTCCACTGCACTGGCTTAAAATGCTCCTAAGACCCCAGTACATGTTCCTCTGAATTTTTGAAGCAGCCGGCATGCACACTGACTTGAGGGAAGTGAGTGTGCCAGGGCATGGTGACGTGCCAATCTGTACAGAGAGGGCTGAAAAGGAGAAGGAAGGGATCCTTCCTCTTTTCTGTTCCTAGAGAATGAGGTGATTATGTTTCAGGGCTTCTGACACCCCCACTGCTGGCTTGGTTAAGAACACACTGCTGATGCTTGGAGGTTCTAGGCCCTCCTCCGTCTAGTGGATAGATATGGCAAAGGAGGGGGAGGTATGGAACCAAAGGAGAGCATAACTACAACTCTCTCAGTGACTGCATTTTCTGAACCCCAAAGTGGCACATTCTAACAAGTATGAGTTGATCACCGGGAACCACAGGACAGAATGGTTGAGCGTGGGCTTACCCTGGAAACTGTTGTTCTCAGTAGTGGGAAAGCTCCTTCATTCCTGAAAATGAATGCTGCAGGAATGGTGGGCTGCTGCCTTGAGTGGGACAGAGGTGGGACCTGATGACCTGGCAGGTCTTCCTGTCTCAGATTCTGTGGTGAACTCCACTCCACTGTGACTCACGGTAATCTTTCATTATTCTCTGTCCGGAGGAAAATATAGGTATTTCTGAATTTTTATTTAACTCAATCTTTTAAGTTTAGGATTTCCTCCTGGGTAATAATAAAGAATAGAACAGGTTGGGCTCATGCCTGTAATCTCATCACTTTGGGAGGCTGGGGCAGGTGGATCACTTGAGCCCAAGAGTTTGAGACCAGCCTCGGCAACATGGCAAAATCCTTTCTCTACAAAAACACAAAAATTAGCCGAGTGCCATGGCGCTGCCCTGTAGTCCCAGCTACTAAAATATATACAAAATATATTTAACATCTGGCTGGTTTCACCACTTCCATTGCCACCACTCTGGTCTAAACCACCATCCTTTATTGCTTGGATTCCTGTAGAAGCTTCCTGTAGAAACTGGCTTGTTTCCATCCTTGTTCCTCTATAATCTAGTCTCTACATAGTAGGCAGAGTATTACTTTCATAACTGCAGCCAGATCATGCCTAACCATTCATTGGAAACCCTGCAGTTCCTCTGCTTCACACTTGTTTATTATCTTCATTGTTTATCCTGCACTTCAGCGTGTAAGCTCCATGAGGGTTGCAAACTTGGTCTGTTTACCGATGAACCTCAAGTGGCTCGGATAATGCAAATAACAAAAGAGGCAATTATTTGCTCTAGGAAAATAATTATACACAAAATATAATCACAGATTGCTATTGTTTAATCAAGAGATCAAACAATTCCCAAGCACAGTGAAGCTTCTAGGCTGACTTGCCACATTGCCATAAATCCAACCAGTAAGAAAACAGTGGGCCTTTTAGTTCCCATGACAAGCAGGCAGCATGGGCTTTCAGCAATTCTCCTTTCCCTGAAAGTTCCAAGAGGGAACTTGGTGAGCAGTAGTAATGTTGAGTGGGCCTGGGTGGATGGCGAGCACACAGTGGATCTGCCTCACAGCTCAGAAATGCTAAGCCTAGGAAACCCCCAGTCTTATAAGGGGACCACTAGCAAGCCTGCCCAATCTTTGTCCCACAGGGAGACATTATCTTTATTTTCCTGGTTAACAAAGAAATCTCTGGGAAGGGAGAAGAGGGAAGATCTTACTATCCCTTGATATGGCTGGAGAACCATGCCTCTAAATCTCTCCCAGAGGGAGTCACTGTCCTTATAAATAAATCTGCCCTCTGTCAAAGGAGACACTACCTCTAGCTTCTAAGGTTGTTCGCTGCCCATACATCCTGGAAAAGATAGTCTGAGATACAGAAATGCTTTGGAGAATTGTCTCCCAACAACTACTTGTTCAGCAGCAAATATTTTTAAAAAGCATCAAAATGTAATTATTAATTGAACTATATCGAAAGAATGGGGCCAGGCGAGGTGGCTCATACCTGTGATACCAACAATTTGGGAGGCCAAGGTGAGTAGATCACTTGAGACCAGGAGTTTGAGACCAGCCTGGCCAATATGGTGAAACCTTGTCTCTACTAAAAATACAAAAATGAGCCGGGTGTGGTGGTGTATGCCTGTAATCCCAGTTATTCAGGAGGCTGAGAAATGAGAATTGCTTGAACCTGGAACTGACATTGCAGTGAGCTGAGATTACATTGCTGCATTTCAGCCTGGGTGACAAAGTGAGATTCTGTCTCCAAAAAAAAAGGGGGAGAATAATAGCAGAAAGAGATATTTGTTGTTGAGTCGAATAAAAGGACATGTCCTAACATGACAAGGAATTGTTTACAATACATTTTAAAATGGCAGTGTCAGTATATTATTTAGAAAGATGGGTGCAACACTAGAAGAAATAGTAGAGCCTTATAGTTATGTTTAGGGAACAGAATTAGGGCCAAGGGAGATGGGGCTGTCCCCTCTCTTCCCCTCCCCTCCCCTCTCCTCCTCCCTTTCCTTTCCCCTCTCCTCTCCTCCTCCATTTCCTTCCCCCTCCTCCCTTCCCCTCCCTCCCCCTCTCCCCTCCTCCCTTTCCCTGCCTCCTCCCCTCCCCTCCCTCCCCCCTCCCCTCCCTTTCCTCACCTCCCCTACCCCCTTCCCTTCCTTTCCCTTTCCTCCCTCCCCTTCCCCGTTTCCCTCCCCTTCCCCGTTTCCCTCCCCTTCCCCGTTTTCCTCCCCTCCCCTTCCCTCCCCTCCCCTCCTTTCCTTTCCTTTTCTTTCCGGCATTTCGCTCTTATTGCTTAGACTGGAGTGCAATGGCATGATCTCAGCTCACCACAACCTCCACCTCCTGGGTTCAACTGATCCTCCTGCCTCAGCCTCCCTAGTAGCTGGGATTACAGGCATGAGCCATCATGACCAGCTAATTTTGTATTTTTTGTAGAGACAGTGTTTCTCCATGTTGGTCAGGCTAGTCTCGAACTCCTGACCTCAGGTGATCTGCTGCCTCGGCCTCCCAAAGTGCTGGGATTACAGGTGTCAGCCACCATGCCTGGCCAGGGCTGTTTTTCATTATAATCCTTTCCTTGCTATTTTTTTTTTAAATCTCCAATGATCTGTGATCATGCTTCATTGAACCTGATTGATCAGCAGCCTTT